CGAATAGGCGCTGTGGCCCTTCTTGTTAGACAAGGTTCAGTAGCGTGTTTTGGTAGCATCCAACTATCAAGATCTCTCATCAGAGAGGGAGTCGCTACTAGTATCCCCTCTAGCTCATCAACAGTAATCAGCTTGTCACACTGAATGCCTGCGCGAGGAGTACTGTAGCTGGGACTGATCATGCTGGAAAGGAAAAACAGTGTCGGGGCCAACTCCTATCTCTGGGGAACACCCGCGTTGATATTGTGGGATGAAGAGGAGAAACCGTCTATTACAACGGACATCCTGTGACCGAAGATCGAAGGATGAACCTGGATTTTGTGCTCTTATCAAATTGCTCGTGTTGGATGGATAAATCCTTAAGGCAGTTCTTCCTAACTCAACAAAAGTCTAAGGGAACCCCGCTCCTTCGATGTCAGCTCTTTAAGCTTGCAAGTTCCTTGGAGTTAACCTACGCCGAGAAACAACGCAAAAGTCCACGGTATCGTGTTGGATGATAGACATGTGTAGGTGAGTGGGATATCCGAAGAACGGGCGCGGAACATCTTTTACAAAGTTTTGATGTTGATGTATCTCCGCGTACGGTGCTGAACACCGATCAAAAGCGAACACGCAAATGACCTTCCCGACAATGTTCGGACCTGTTCAGTAAGGATCCGACCGATTTTGAGCATCAACTCGTTACCATTAATAAGGAAGGGGTCTACCATGACATGCCGGAGACGAAGTAGTCGAAGCAGTGGGTGGAAGCTGGCAGGTTAGCGCCAAAGAAAGACAAGTCGATTGAATCTGCCGGAAAGGCCATGCTCACTGTGCTTCTGTCGATTGATTACTTTGAAAATAGTATAGCAGTTATGGATGAACACTAGTAAAAACATTCATGATCAACTAGATGCACAAATTCGTGAGGGTCGCATGACTTGAAGAAGAAAACTTCATTTTTCACCAGGAGAATGCACCTCCTTACAAAGGGGTGTTAGCAATGAGATATATGCAGAGTTTGCTATATCATTTGTTCGACCATCACCCTATTCTGGTGATTTAGCACTTTGAGACTCTTGTCTGATTAATTCAAAGAGTTTTCTTCTGGAAAGAGCTTTGGCTTCGATGAAGAAGTTGAGAAGGTCGTAGTTCAATTCGTTACAAACCTTCAGGCTCACATTAAGACGGAATGCTACTGCTGGAGAAACGTTGGACAGAGTGCGGTGGAATCACAAGAGATTAAATAGAAAAACAGAATCATTTTAAACAGAAAATGACTGTCTTACACTGTCGGTCCGTGAACTTTTAACCTCACTCACGTACAATGAGTTTTTTAAGTGAATTTCTATGACATGCGTTGCGAGAAACTGTCACCCGCTATTATATCACTTGGCAGACGCTATGCAGCTATCCGAGGGACACACGTTTTTACTTGTCCGTTATTGCTGGCAGTCGAGCAGGGCGCTTCCGGCAGCGTTGACAGATCCGTCGCGAGAAATAATTGTATAAGCACGTCGAAATTATCATACACAATGCCGTATCGTAAGTTCCAGGATTCATTTTTAGACAGGAGAGGTTGTTAGGGTGGAGGGGGGAGGCGGGTGTGCGCGCGGCCTCCTTTGCCTACGCAGTCTTTTGGTGTCAGTTGAAGTGCGAAGGGTGGGGACGAAACACCATTTAGAGAATAGACATAATAGGCGATTAGTTGTAATAAGAGGGGGGTAGGGAGGTGTAGCCGTAATTGTTGTACGTTAAAATCGTTTATTCGCAAATTTACCGTGCACTCAATTTCGTACAGTGCTTGAAGTTGTCAAACAAAAATGATAGCTATCGTACATCTGGCAACGCCGGCTGCCAGAGCGCTCTGTATAATAAGAGGGATGCGCATTACGCGAGGCGCGAACCTCTCATATTATACCTCATTCGTAGTCCATTTACGCCCAGACAAAATACAACATGCGCAAAAGTGAGATTGTACAGGTCCGTATTTTCTTCAATAGTCTTGGAATAATCTAACAAAATAAATGATTATTTTTATAGAAAGAAGTGCACATACTTTTCAGTCCTTCATTCGCTGGAAGTACTTGAATCATCATCCGAATGGTTAATATTAATTATTACAGGTTCAATTTGAATATATATCGATCATATTGCTCAGATCCTACATCTTGGCTTCGATTGTCTCTTGAACGTGACGGATGCAATATGCAATGGTTTACCGTCACAGCTTTATAAAAAAAAAATTTCATGTCTGAAAATTTGAATGTTCTATTGTTTAAGGCCACATAGTTTTTTACATTTGCCCAAATCATTTCAATGGGATTTAAGTTTTTTAGCCGTTTAATCAATGACATAAAGATTATATTTATATCTGTGCTGCCTGACTAGATGGATAAGTTCTGCTTTAACCATATTTTTGTTGAAAACAATGTCTTTTGATAGGAGTTATTGTTGAATTTCTGCCTTTCTTGTGGACATTGTGGGAGTTTTTTCTAGTTTTCTAGTGTGGTATGCAACATTAACAAGTACAATAACAGCATTGTCGCCAAGCTTCGAGAACGTTTCTTCAAATCATCGTTTAAATGAACTCCCGTCCATTTCTTTATGGTAGTCCGTCATTTTCTTTGACTCGAGTGCCCATAGGGCAGTGGGCAGAAAGGCATCTTCACTGCCAATGTGACAGATAACAAATCGTTTTGTTGTTCCTGGAAATAATTTTCTCATATAGTATTCAAGAAAGCTAAAAATAATACAAGCATAGTATCTTACAGATGTTGGTTCCAAATCAGATTAGCTAAGTCTTGTGTAGGTAAGTTTTCAGCGTGGGCTCATAGATCCAGATCATAGATCGTAGGTTATCCCGTTATCCAGAGTGCGCAGATGTGAAGAAAGCCAGCTTTGGCAGACTTTACATATTTTCGATACTATAGATATGAAAAAACAAACGGTAGTGTGTGCCAGTTCTTGATTGTACCGAGTTCGCTTGAGTGAATGGGAAATCTGGCGGGTTCATCTGGCGGGCGTAGAATGTAGGGCCTTCGTACAGTAGAGCACAGAAAGGCTAGCACGTAGCTTTCAAAGCATGTCGGATTCAAAAACGAAAATACCGGTCCTGTAACAAATCCTCGTATTCCTCCACACTCTTCCCAGCATATCTCAGCGAGAATATATATCCTTCTAATTACACAACCGTATATTGTGTGTTAGGCGGTGAAGTATCGCGCTCGTTAACGGACCACAAAGACAAGTTAATTTGAATAACTGCCGGTAATAAGGGCGCTAGGGTGCTCATCTATTCGCCAAAGCACTGTGCGGTTGGACCTTCCAACCAGTTTTATTGGAGATACTTAACTTACTATTTAAACGTTGAAACGCCTCGAGATAGTGCAAGCCGTATGTGGATAGTAATGCACAAAGTTGGCTTTGACTGAGGTGGTCTTGATTGTGTTCACAAAGGATGAGGAGGAGGAAGCGAATAGTTGTACATGTTTACTTCTCACGCCTACATCCGAAGAAATATTGTAATCTCTAGACTATTCGAAAATGAGATATTACATTGAATATTATTTAAAGAAACATGTCACTCATTTCCGTCTGTCTGTCTGCGTGTCTGTCTATCGGTCTGTTCGCGAATCTTTGGACCGCCTATAAATTGGAAAGTACTAATGAGATTTGGACGAAATTTTGAAAAGCTCAGTAGTTTTTTAAAATCGGTTCAGTGCTGGCGGAGCTGGGACCCAAAAACACAGAAATTGTAACAATCGCTCAAACGTCGTTTTTCAGAGGCTCTAAATCATTTTCAGAAGATAATTTTTGTAGGGGTTGAAAATCGGTGTTTTGGTTTATGAGAGGGGAAGGTATATCTCATTCTGTTGGCGGCAGTGTACCTACATGCTTCAAACCCCAGTAATCTTACGCACCTATCAGTACATATTCCACACATCAAGGATTTGTCATTATCACTTAGAGACATATTTATAGACGAGACACGCGGTCAGGGATGCAATAATAAAAAAAACTTATTCTGGTAACATTTTTTTCTTAGCTGTAACTGAACTTACAATTTTAACGTATTTTTTTTTCATTGAAATACTTGATTTGGGTATAACTATCAAAAACATAATTTTTACTTGTAACTGTAACTGAACTTTACAATTTTAAAATATTTCATGCAGGTATAACCGTATAATAATGTTTTGTCGTAACTGTAACTAAACTTTACAATTTCAAAATGTTTCATGCGCGTTTAACCATATACTTTTATGTCTTACAATTTCAAATATTTGATGCGGATATAAATAATATAACAATTAAAAAATATCCGTAACTGTAACTGAACTTTGCAAATTTTAAAAACTTCGTGCGGGTATAACAACTTAATTAACACAAATTATTGAAACATTCATTAGACCAAGTAAGTAATAGAAAAAGTATATGGTTAACATACCCATTGATATTAAAAAAACTGGGACGATGGGTTATCTACCTATTTGAACAACTTAGACTTGAACGACACTTAGAGTTACACAAAATACCAGCAGCTTTACACTTTCTACTTCCACACTTGGTTTTACAGTGGAATCTTTTATAGCCTTGTCCACCAGATGAAGATTGTGAGTTGGCTATTAGGCGCAGCGATTTGTTTTTCGAGGTCTAAAAATTTTGATTCGCACATGCTGAATTGGTTTCTTCAAAAAAGTCGGGCACTGTGTCAAACTGGTTGCCCAACTTATGTAAATCATCCCCAGTACATTCAAGTACCACCATTAAAACATTTGGGAAGTCTCAACGTCAGGAATTTTGACACGGACGGTATCACCTACCTTGCAAAGAGAAACATTTTTCATGCTTTCATTTTATTAGCCTGTAATACTAAAGCAAGCTGCCGCACATTTCTTATTATCATCTATTTTCTGTACCTTCTTGCACAAGTCACACTTTTCATATTTCTTCTAGTAGCTGATAAACTGCTTTTTCTGTAATTTCATTTCATTGGTTTCGACTTCTGTCTTATTTACCACGCTACTACTATTCTTCAACTGCTCAAGAATTTTCTCCGGATCGTCCTTATTCTGAGAGTTGGCTAGACCTAAGTGTAGCTAAGATCAAGTTGGTTGGTCCTAGTTTTAACCGAATGGAACCGGCTAGTACTAGGTTTAACCTTGAATGTATTATAGGTTACAATCAAGACTAACCAACTGCCAGTGGCTACACCGAGTTCTGTCTATATCTAGTTGACACCGCATTTTGGGTTTTAGCCGTAACACAAAGAAAACATAACAGCTCATATTCGAGCTTTCTCGTGATTATAGTACACCTACTTGTTCGCCAGTACCAGTGATGTAGAATGTAAAAATAAAATTCAAGAACATTTTTTCCCGATGGGAAAAATGCCGTTTTATATCTTTTAAGATTCAAACTATCATGAAGCTCCTTTGTCACAAGTTGCCACATTTTTTTTTTTTTATACTCCAACTACCACGAAGGCCTAAGGCCTAAGCACCCATTGGGTACCGTGGGGCTATAGGAGGATACAGGGGAAAGGGGGAACGCCACACGGACTCTGGCGAGGGAACACGTGTGCATGCAACATGCACACATTCTGGCTCCGCCTACGAGATCCGCCGGGTGGTACCTCCACGTTCGACAGTCAGAGACCATCTACCACCTACGATACATAAAAGCTTGTCACATTTTCATAGCAAGGGGAAAAGTGTATAACACGCTTTTGTTTGAAAACTTAAGGGGAAGGAGCTTTATTACTGCTTAAATTCTAAGCAGACTCGCACGGTATACTATCAACAGGAAAAAATATTTGTAAAGTTCTTTTCATTAACGCCTAAATAAAATTTAGTCTTTGAAAACGTTTCTACTTATATATATTTTTGATAGTATGTCACGAATAATGCTGAATGGCTGGCAAACTCAAATAATGTCGACTCAAATTTTATTTTATTATTATTTGATTATTTTTGCAAAACAGGACTGCATTTAAAGTTACCAATGTTTGAGAATATATCACTGGGTGAAACTTTGTTACTTTGTCACGTGCCAAAATCACGTAACCTGTTTTTACTATTTTGATCACTTATTAGTAATTTGAATTTCTCTTTATTAATGGTAGAGTGCCCATTCCTTAGGCTAAACACTTTTCAATGATTTTCTTTGGTGAATTTAATAGTTTATTGATTGTATAGTTTCACACGTATTGTATTTTCCTTTCTCAGTGACTCAGTAATGTGTTGAAATCTTTTGTACACTAATGTTTTAGTGTGATTAACGACTATCTCAGAAATTTCCTAATGAAATATCGTTGCTCTCTCGTAGGGTTGGTTCCGTGCATTGGCAAACAGCGCCACCTTGTGATTTCCGTACATACTAGCCATATAGGTATATCTGGTTTAACATAGATAACCTTCTTTTACGCGTTACGTTGAGGTTTTGGTTGTGCGTTGATTGTTTTGTTGGTAATAGTTTCCAGATTCCGGGATATTAACGCCCGAAACACCAGATTATGGTACAGCATCCTTTATTTTGTACCTTACGTTTAGTTGTTTTCTTGCTGCCCCGACCATTTTCTGGGATTTTAACCTTCAGCAGAAAGTTCTTTTTTGGATACCATCGGACCACGTCCATTAATGTCCTGAAGAAGTTTGTTCAATATCTGTTTCCTTTTACTGGAAATGCATTGCGGAGAACACCATTCCCACTCCTCCATCTTTGTGTTGTAACTGCCTTGCAGCTGTTTAGTAGCCAATTTTGCTTGACAAAAAAACCTGATGTGAACAGGAAAAAAAATATCATTTTAATTACAGTATATTTAGATAAGAGATAGACCGGACATAAACAAGACCACGTGATCATCGAACGCTGTAACATTCGGCAGGGACGTATTAAGAGTCACGCAGTACATATTTTAGATAGTAGATGCTGCTTTGCGTAACTTTGTAGTAAATTAGCACAATTCGATGTGTATACGATTGGTGATGGATATAGGATCATGTGGGGGTGGGGTAAGAAATATATAATGATGTAAATATACATAAGGGTTTCAAAATTTTCGCTTCGATTTCCAGCTTCGGATGCCGCCTGATGTTTGGTGAAATACAGTCGAATATAATCTCAAAATGGCGTTTAAATTAGCCTAAATTAAAAATAATCGTATATCTCTTAAAATTGCTTTTAGAATATTGATTAGTATATTTTTTGATTTCTAGGTAAATATGTAACCAAATTAAAACGTTCAAAACGTAAAAAAATGTGCATGGTTGAACATTGTCAGAAAGTAGATTCTTGAATAGGTTTTCCAAAATGGGTTCAAAAATGTCAATAATTAATTAAAAAATACAGTAGCTTTATAATTACTTATAACTTACCGAATTTGATGAACGACATCTTTTATTGGAAAGATGAGCTTGATGAGCTTTCATCATCGCTACTGCCTGAAGCACCAACGTCAATAATGAATGGCTCGACTTGTTCCTCTAAAATGTTGTCCAGTTCCCACATTCTCTTTTCAACTTTGTCTTTCACGTGCTTAATACAGTTTTCCCATTTTTGCGCTGTTATTAATTCTAGTGCTTCTCTGAAAAGTCCTTTGAGGTCACAAAATTTAAAAGTTGTATTGTGCTTAGCTATATAATTTTTAATCTCTGCCCATATGCGCTCAATGGGATTGAGCTCGCAATGGTATGGAGGTAAACGGAGCACTGTTTTATTTTGACTTGCTGCCATTTCGTCAATGGCGTATTTTTGATATTCCGCCTTGTGATCCTTGACAATTCTTAATAATTGTACTTTCAGCATTGCTTCTTCAAAGTTGATATTTTTCGAGCGGAGCCAATTTTGAACATCAACTTTCCTTGAAGCCGTTGTTGGGACCTTCTCCATTCTTCGAGAATGATAAGGCGCATTATCCAACACAATTACTGCGTTTTCCTCTAAGTTCGGTAAAATTTTTGAAAACCACTGTTCAAACGATTCGCCATTCATTTCCTCGTGGTAATCTCCAGTTTTCTTAGACTACAAGCACCACAGACCGTCAACAACAAATCCATCCTCACTGCCAATATGGCAGATAATGAGCCTTTTCCCTTTACCTGGAAATCGGAGTACTAACTGGTGTAGATTTATTTCAATAAGCGAACCTTTTTCAAATGTTTTCATCACATTCAGCTAAAAACATTGAGACATGAGTATCAGATTGCTATAATTGGGATTATTTAGTCATATTGAAAGAAAGAATATTGAACGTCGTATGATTACTCAGCGCTTTACAATTTAATTTAAAGTTATAAACCTTTTAAAAATGAATGATCAGGAACCTGAAATACCCGCAAATATTAATATTAACAAATTATAACTTTATAAAGCTCAAAGTATGAATTAAAATGATTAGAAATATTAGGAACGGTACACAATATAAAACTTAGTAACTTTTTTTAAGTTTATAATAATCGACATATTTTAAGATTATATTAAAAAATAATTGAAATATCGAAAACACATAAAAACATGGCTTAAAAAAGTTCTAACAAATGAAAATGACAATAAATCATCCACGCATTTTATCGAAAGTTATAAAAGTTTTGTTACTTGTAATATGTTTTATCTGCCCCCTGGAATTAATGTTTAGAACCTTGTTCCCAAGGTTTGAAAAACATCCGATTGTTGTCTATTACTCGTATTTACCTGCTAGATTTTTTAATCCGGTGGACAGTCCATCTAGAAAGGCCCTCCTGGATGAAGTTACAGAATCATCAACCCATACTTTACTTGTAGTGTGTCCTGCGTTTACCCACGTTTCATCAAGGTAATAAATCTTCCTGTTTTGATTTCTATATTTCCCAATTTTTGTTAAATAATCCTTCCTCCATAGCACAATTTCTTCTCTATCCAGTAGTGAACTATTACGACCCCGTTTTTTCCATTTGAAATTTAAATGCTTCAGTAACGCATGGAAAGTTGATCGTTTGAAATTTGGCAACGTTGTATCTCCATTTACCTCCTGCAGTACTTTATCTATAGTAGGTATTTAATTCCTAAAGAAGAATTCATGCACTTTCCTCCTAATCGCATGCTTATCAGCTTCATCCAATGATTTAACAATACTTCTGCGATGTTTACTGGTCATTGGCTCAGAAAAGGTGTGATTTTTTTTGTATTGTCTTAACACATTAAACACTGATGCACGACACACCCCAACTTTGTGAGAAACCTTCACAACAATTTCTTTGATGGTTGATGCCTCGTTCTCCTCGCGCTCGATCTTATATATATTCAAAATGACCTCTTTCATTTCTGCACTCAGGTGTCTTTTTTTAGAGCGTTTCCTAGGTGGACTACAGGAGTTTGCAACTTCATCGGCAGTATCTGTACTACTGGGCATTTTGCGCAAGCAGTTGATAACAATAACAATCAATAACAAGGTATAACAATAACAACGACAAACTCAACAACTTAATAAGATAACAAACGAAAACGTCCAAAGAAATATCAAATTGCAATGATGCACACGACATACGTAACACGTCTGAACCTGAATGTGACTCTGCCTTGATACGACTGCTCTGCTGCTCGGCATAGGCATTTAATTGCGAATTGACCAATGAGGGCTCCTGTTTTACGTCGAGATGGCGGCGTTAGCGTGAAAATCACCCGACCGGTCTATCTCTTATCTGAATATACTGTAGGTATTTTATAGATATTTACGTGTATATATTGGTTGTTGCTGACTGAAATTCTTAGCGTGTTTTTGATTTTGTTTGGCATTTTACGTATCCAAATGCCTACATTGCACCTTCTATTGGGCATTACATTACGTTTATTTTTATTTTTGAGCTTCCGTGTCTTTATTTTAGAACAAGGGATAACTTTCTGGGGGCATATCAATTTAGTATATTTTTATCTTTTCTTGTCCTTGCTTTTCTTGTAAAAGACAATGTATATGGTTTTTCCTCAAGTTTAGAGTGTTTAGATGTATAGTTCTGTCACAGACAGAGAATAGAGAGTATTAGATTTTTAAGCAGTCTTTCTATGTCTCCCTCTAGGGTTTCCTATCCCGTAAATTTTGGAAAACGAGGCAAGTAGCCCCTACCTTGAGACATTCCTCACGTTACTACCCCCTGTTCGCCACTGGTGTTTGACCTGAGAGTTCGTGTGCTGAGGACATCTCGGCTGAGCCTAGAACCGTAACCGGAAGAACCAGATAAGCTTAGTTTCAGGAGTTAAAATATTTGTAAAGCCTTCGTGCGTGTACCATGGTAAACGTTTTGCAGGGCTAATCATCACCGTCTAACAATTTTATTGTCAGGTGATTTTGAATGATACCCTTTTCATTAATTTGCACTCCAATGGTGGAGCATATATGTGCTGCTTGTTTTGATAATATATTGATTCTTTTTTAAATATCATGTTTTATTTGGCACGGCGTAAAATTAATTAGGTTTTAGTACTACTGTGAGATTCTTTTCTTTTGTCTGGGTGGTCAAGCAAAACAAGCTCTTATTAACACCTCGGGCATTTGTGGCTTAATCCGGCTTAAGTCACGGGCCCTCTCAACCGCCCTACTCTCCGCTTTATTGAGCTTAGATTTAATTTATAGTGTTGTATTTATTGATTCGTTAATTAATTTAAAGAAAGGAAAGAGTAATCACGCCATCATTTCCTCTTGTTTATAAAAATGCAACTTATATATAACAGAAATCATTTCGTGCATACAATAACTTCAATCTGGGCCACCAGGTGACACTTTTAATGAGCAACTTTGACCGAGATATATATATATATATTTATATATTCATTTTTATATGCTAAACTGTCGTGCTGGTCTATAAAGTTATAGATGCACATACAATGGACTTCAGCGCAACTTTGTCGTTTAAACAATGAGGGCCCTGGAACCGTGTCTCTAAATTATTGTCCATTATCTATACGACGTCCGGCGCAAGCTGCTGGAGGAGTCCATTATTAATTTTTTAATTATTCCGAAGCTAAACGTGTGGCTGTAAAAACTTCTTTATTAAATTCAGCCCAAGAGATGCGCTTTATGCTGGCGCGATGTCACCCTCTGCGGTAATAAAGCCATATGGCAGACTGAATTATTTTATTTGTCGAGTCTAGCCTTTAAAATATACGCCTTTATTGCGCATTGTGCTGCTCTCCTTTCCCTCTACTTTCTCTGCATGTTTTGGATTATTAAATTTCTGATAATAATACTCCACTTGAATAAGAAAAATGGTGCATTTCAGTCTTGCACTTCCCACCGCAACTGGCGCAATCGCTTCCATTGCTGTGTCGGTCTAGCTGTCTAAACGCTAACACTTGGTTCTACTACAACTTGGAAAAGAGCACACGAATTTTGATGAGACTTTCAAAGAAGACCTCTGCTCATTTTAGGAAACTCCCTTACATTGTAAAGATTTGGGACAAAGGGTTGTAAGGACGACGGAAGGTATATCTTTGCTGGAGTAGGTAGTGGGACGTGAATCAGTGAGAGTCGTGGACTGTTCACGCGGTCACGACTCACGATTCAGTTTATCCCTTAAAGAAAACCAGCGCTATCCAAGTGATTAGACACAGAAGGGTATGTTGCTTAAGGCAAGACTCGTATTCGTATGAAAATAATAAAGACGGCGTGGGACTTGAAAATGTACTGCACCTAGAGCTCCTGAACATATACGGTAAAAAGTCAACAAAACATGTCGCATGCTTTATTTTTTGATCTACCTAATGTACCTGATTGTTCTTACTCGCCATTACATGATTTGTTGGTTTATTGATATCAACCAATATTGTAGAGAGACACCGGATGCGCAGAACCTGAAATACATTACTCACAAAAAGCCTTTTAGTAGATAGCCCGGATTTCTCGACACTTTTGGCTTCACCCCATACCTAAGAGCTTACCCTCCTTTTTCCAGTATTCTTGGCGCCATCGAAAACCAAGTGATGATTACCAGATGCGTCGCCCCCGACTGGGGTGTCCAAACTCAAAAATCAAATTGTCTTCTCTTCCGATAACGTCAAAGGCAAATTTTTACCTCGCTCAGATGGAGACAATTCCACGCAAGTTTTGTGAGAACGTGGCTCAAGCTTAGAACAAACCAATGAAAACAGGTCTTATCGCGGATGGGCCTGGGTCTAGGTCCCGTGTCTTGCAGCATCGACCACCAGTACATAGGCTTGGAGGCTCGCTGTTTAGACATGGGCGCCCGCACGAGTCTATCTCACGGTGCCGATTAGCTATCGGCAAGACGGAATTATTGAGCTCGTATGTCATAATTGTGGATCAGTTTACAAAAATCGGGTGCTGGAAAACTTTCTCCGAGGGAGCCAAATCTTGAAGATGGCACACAAAATAATGCTAAATATGCCAAAGACAAGGCAACACGCCTATTAGAAAAGTAGTTTTGGTTTATTTCGCTGAATTTTTTATATGTCATTCGTCTTGAGAATATGAACAAATCTTACAATGGGCATAGGCCCCCAGGCACAATCGGTCCCAAGATATAGGCTATACAAGTCGGTATAATGGTGTATCGGCAGTACTCGAACATTTGCTACAAGTGGAAGGGTGGTTTCGGTTAATTTCACTGAAATTTCCATATGTTATGTGTCTCGGCGTCCTGAACAAATTCTTCAATGGACACAGTCCCGAAAACTCAACGGGTCCCAAGATACAGGCCATCCAAGTGATAGGGTGTCGGTCCTACTTAGGGATTTAACATATCGGAAAAAACGGGAAAAATTAGGAAAAAGCACGTTTTTTCCGTTTTTTTTCAGACCATGGGAAAAATTGGAAAAAATGGGAAAATTTGAATATTTTTTAATTGTGACTTGAAACGTAAAAAGGAGGTACTAATTTTAAAGTTTTTTAAACATATTTTGTAAAAATAAATACAAAAAACATACTTTAATAATATCTATTACTAACTAGGATATAAATACATACATGTATATAGGGTCAAAGTATAATTACTATCTAATAATTGAAAGTATCAAAAACAAAGCTTCATAGGTAGATAACACATTATTTAACCAAAACACTCAGAGGTATATTTTCATCTGAGTCTGAGTTTGAATCTTCAGACCAAGCATCTGATTCAGACTTGATCTCCGCTTCGTCTTCATGGACGGACAAAACAGCATAATCTTTGCCGGTGTCTTCTAAAAGTGGAACTGGTCTAGCATCGTAAATGAATGTCTATTTTTCGTTTATAACCAAATTAGAATGAATAACAACCAGCTTCTGAATTTTATCCTGTGATAATCTATTTCTTTTGCTTGTATGTAAATATGAGGCCGTGTAAAGACCAGTTTCTTTCTGAAGAAGCGGAAGATGGCGGTCCATTTAAAATTCGGGAGGCAATTGGCATAAGTGGCTGCGATGTACACAAGCCTTGCCACCATATAACGGGATGAGTACTATTCGCACTATCCCATAAAGAATTTCGACTAAAAAATCCAGTTTTTGTTCTAAATTGGACTAGATTTGCCACCACCTTCCCTACATCTAGATTTAGTGAACGAGCCATTTCAGAAATGAATTCTATTGCTTCCATTAGTTGGTCTTCATTCGAATGTTCTCCTTTAAAGCGAGCATCAAGAAGCTTAGCTGCAAAGTGAATCGGCTTAGAACAAAATTCGTAGAGTTTTTCAACATATTTTAGCAAGCTTTCGATAAGAGAACTAGTCAGGTCAACTTGTTGGGAAATATCTAATATTGTGTCTTTTATATACTTAAAGACAAAAGGCACTTCTGATAATATAGATCTATCCGATTCTACTAAATTTATCGATTTTGATACAGGATGCAGGATTTGTTTAGTATATTGTAGGTTTTGCCATAACGCATCATCGAATACAACTTTTTTAATATTTTGTTTTACATTCAGGTTTTCCACTAATACAGTACATTGCATTTCTTAAAAGCGAATCAACAGTTATAAACAGAGAATCCCATCTTGTTTTTGCAGGTAATTTGAGGGAAACTACTTTATTCTTTGGGTATTTTTCGGCCTGTGCTTCTTTAAATGCAGCATAAAGTATGTGGTGGTGTTTAAAATATTTACAAATTTTTTTAGACTCTTTACTTATTTTTTCAAACAAATTTTATTTCATAAAGTCCTTTACTAGCAAATTCAGAGTGTGAGCTGCACAACCAACACAAGATATATGAGGGTATGTTATATTTATAATATGCCAAGCACCTTTCATATTGCTCGCATTGTCAGTCACTATTAAAAAAAAATTGTGGCTTTATTCCTTGAATAACTTTGATAAGTTTATTACTTATATACATTCCCTTTTCTTTTGCAGTACCACGATGAACAGTTTTGTAAAATAAAGGTATAGGCGTGCATATAACAATATTGATTAATCCATCTCCGACTATATTTGTCCAACTATCTGTTACCATTGATAAACTATCGGATTCAGAAAGCTTTTGACTTCGGTTTATCTGTACACGTTCATACTCGGAATTAAGTAAGTTTGTTGACAGGTATTTGGAATGACGGTCTTAACATTATAAAAACCTGTTCCCAGTATTTATTTTTGAAAAGAGAAAAAGGAGCACCAGAAGCATAAAGAGCGCTAGCTAATGCCTCATCAATTTTAGACGACTCTCAATGTTTGTTGGCAGCTAGCTTTCTTGCGTTTTACTGATGGTAATGGAGATTCGGACGATGATGACATTGATGACGTGTCCTTTTTGCTAGTTGAAGGGAGACTGGTATCTTCTAATGCTTCTAGCAGGATATCTTTGTTACTTTCATTTTCTTTTGCCGTCGAAGACTTCGAACTCGATTGTATTTAATTGCCATATTTTTGTTTAATTTTATTTTGAACATTGGCTTAATATATGATTCGTCATGCGAGTTGCGTTTGGAAAGGCGTACTTAAAACAGCAAAACTTACACACAGCCTTGGATTTTTTATCTGTTTTGCCCTGCAACAAGAAAAAAATACATAAATAAAATATCTTGCTGCACTTTATCAACTGATCAAATTCTTGTGATTTAAGGAGTATACAGATAATAATTATTATTACTGAATCTTGATATTAGTAATAAAGAAAAGTAAGGAAAATATGCAAGGAAACTGAAATCCCACCTTCAAAACACTTAAAGCTATTCCAAATTTAATAAAATATTCACTTACCAGAAACCAAAACAAACACTTGGGTCAACAACACTAACAATCTTCAGAACAAACACACTCAATTATTACAGCAAAATTTCACTTTGTATTATTCATTTACTGCGCTTATGATAAGGCTAAATTAAAATGCGTGCTTGAAAATAATCAAGACTTGTCAATATTGAAGAATCTCATTCTCAACTGAACAATTCAGGAATACGGGGATTTACCGAAATGCCGTGTCGCTGTGCGTGATAGGGAATTAACCGAAAGCTGTAGGTCGGGGATTCACCGAAAATCGACGGGTATTTACCGAAAACTAATCCTTCAGAGCCGTAGCTTGCGGTTTTGATTCAAATTATTTCTGTTTGATTTATATTAATGGAAAAATCAGTAACCAGAATACTTTTATCTTGTATAGTATAACAAATTTCAATTTTTCCGTATTTTTCCTCAATTTTTCCGGAAAAAAACAGGTTTTCCAAAAATTTTAAATCTCTAATCCTACTTAGCTATCTGCCCTACGTGGAATGGCGGCTGCGGATAATTTTGCTGATATCAAGTTTTTGAGATTTAGCCTTTTACAGAATTGTAAAAAATTCGGAGATACATGACATTTCACAAATTCAGTAACATAAACCGAAACCACGCTTCCAAGTGGAGCATATGACTGGGTAGAAATAACTCATAATACTAACGTATCATCCGAGTCATTGCGTTTTGGGTTCTGTGTCAACTAAGACAATCGTTGAGGGCGTCGAAACTGCTCTTCCACATAGAGCAGTTGGCTAAGTATAGCCGATATCTCAGGATACTGACTTAAACGGCCTACATCTTGGACCTGTGAGTTTTTGATTGTGCTTCCTTTGAGTCATGTGTTCAGTATACCAAGAATCATAGCAATTCACAAATTCAGTGATATTAACCGAAACCATACTGACTTAGGCTTGTTATATGTTGGGGCCCGTTGAGTTTGGAGTCCTGTGCTTATTACGGCATTTGTTCGGAAATCCAAGACACAAAAAATTCAGCAAAATTATCTGAAACCACTCTTCCACTTGAAGCAGATGTTCGATAGATACCCCATCATTCTGACTTAAAGGGCCTATATCTTGGGACCCTGTATGTTTTGGGTCATATGACCATCAATGCATTTGTTCAGGTTGCCAAGACACTTAACAAAAAACTAAGCAAAATCAATCGAAACTACTCTTCCACCATACATATCCGGGTAAAGCCAATACCCCATTATACTGACTTGGTCGGCATACAACTTGGGATCCGTGGAGTTTTTGAGGCTGTGCTCATTGAAGCATTTGTTTGGGATGCCGCAGACAACAACAACAAAGCAGATATTCGAGTAGAACTGGTACCCCATTACACTGACTTGGACGGCGTATATCTTGGGATGCGTTGAGTTTTGGGGCTTGAGACCTGAGATACATAACATATCAAAATTAATGGAAATTAACCGAAACGACACTTCCCGTTAAAGCAGATATTCGAGTAGGGCCGATACCCCATTGTACCAACTTGGACTGCCTATATGTTAGGAACCGTTGAGTTTGGGATATGTGTCCATTGAATTTGTTCAGGATGTGAAGAGACATAAGATATAAAAAATTCAGCATAATTAACCGAAACCACTTGGGTCCTTTCAGAAGGGAAGAGGGTCAGAGCCTGAAAACAAGACTGACTTGCTCCATTCCTCTGTCTTTTATGCTGCGAGGAAAATACAGTCAGCCAACTGGACGCCGTTCTTTCATATGAATTTGTTGGCAGAGTATCATTATATTGCTTCCAAAGTGTGTACCTGCATTGTCATCTATGAACAGAAATCGTCAATAGAACATTGGAGAATTTAACCAATTTGCGTTAAATTTAAGTTGCGATAAGTTTAAATCATGACGTCGGAAGTGTTTCTACGCCCAGTCCTCAGAACGTGATTCCATTTCTGCCATGAAGAATCCAAAACTAAATTAGTATGTTACTGAAAATGTAAAAAATTGGCTACTTCAGTTGTTCTGTATGTAAACTATAACATATTCTTTTCTTTCAATACCAAAGTCACACAGTTCTGCTACATTGGTATAAGAATCAACCAAAGGGGCCGATTTCACTTATTTTCAGCAACATGCTAAATTAGTTTTGAGTACTCTTGGTCGGTCCCCACTTCTTGTCCGCCGTTTACAGTTTGACCTCAGATGTATGCAAATGGATGTCACTCGCTACAAGTTGATACATCTGCGACCCCTACGGCGAAAATGCAAAAAGGTTCCTGCATCTTTTGATCAACATTCAGTGACAGTTTTGCACAAAGAACGGATAGCTGTCGCCCTCCATTATTGAAAGAACAAGCCTTCTGTGATCAACCCCATACAAAGTGTTTCATGTCTGTTAGCAATCATCAGTACGGTACAGGTTTTGGCTTGGAGGTAAGCATGAGACGACGTTGTATACAGTTGGTGACTGTTACAGAGACTGAGAGAAGTTCAGTTCAACCTATGAAATGTAGGTGAACATAAACCAAATCTCATTAGCTGATTTATTTGCTAGGTAGCAATCATCAGTGCACTTTCTGTTTGTTGACACACTAGCAGAGAAACGAGGATGAACGAGGCAGCTGAAGATGCAGCTTTTGAATTATAAATTTTGATGGCCAGATACCAATATGAGTAGCCTTTTTGCAGCGAAATGTCTCTTTGTGAGTCGACACACCTTTGCAGCTCGTTTATTTTGTTTTTAGCAACCTACCCCAATAGGTTTGCTCATAACCTTCCTTTCCCATCAACAGTGTAATTATCGATTCTCTCGCTTGGTCCACGTTAATTAAAGATCTATTCAGAGAGGCTTCTCGTTTTTAATTATTGTGGTGCTGGGAGGCGAAAAGAATTCAGCAGAAATTCAGGTAGAGTGAATAACAAACGCACAGGGTAGACTTTGTGCGAGATACCTTTCTGCCAGGAATAATAGGCAACAATGTGTTTTTATGTTATTGAAAGGAACAGCACCAACCATTTTCATTCGCTTGGTTACGTTACTTGACTCAGTACTTCTAGTAGGTACATAGTGCTTGAATTATGCTTGGCTGCATACTCTTATGTCCGAATACCTGTACAGACAAGAATTTTCTAAATTTACCGAAATTTCTGGGTCTCCAGAAATTAAAAATTCAGAATTCTTGGAATCTTTGAGATATCAAAATATACTCAATCTCTGATAGCTTTAAAGGTTCCAGAATCTTCCAAAATTTCTAATTTCTTAGAATACTCGTATTTTTCGAAATTCTCAGAATTCCCGGAAGGTAACGATTTTCGACATTTGGAAATTTTGCGTATTTCTGTAGTTTCCGGAATTTTCGGTATTTTTGAAACATTTTAAATTTACGTAATTTTCGGCATTTTCGGAAATTACGGAATTTTTGCAATTTTTTTGGGTTTTTACAATAGGAATTTTCAAAATTTCTGTAGTTTTTCGACTCATCAGTATTTTCGAAATTTCTGGAATTTTCGGAATATTCGGAATTCTGGGAATTTTCGGAATTTTCAAAATTTTCGTAATCTTTTGTGATCTCAAAATTTTCAGAATATTTGCAGTTTTTCAACCTTCGAATATTTCGTGATTGTTTGTACTTAATGGACGGAATTAAGGTTTTCATTGGAGTTAAGTATGCCTAATAATCCCACTGCTCTTAAGATGATTAAACATAGGTTATCAATCGAAACGTCATATAACTAAAAATGTTATTCAAGACATTGGAAGTCCACCCGATGATCGCCAC